CAAAGCCTCTTCTCGGGCCGTGGCAGTAGCAGAAACTGCGGGAGAGGTAATGAAGAGACCAGGGTCCCTGTGCTTTTGGCACTGGAGGGTCTTACCTTTGTGGAGAGCATCAAGCTCAGAGACTGGCAGATGATCAGGTATGCATGACAAATGTGAGTAGTGAGTTTTCTGATTTTTACATTCCCAGGCCTGGGTTAGAAGAATGAACCTGAAGGAGCTGAAGTAATCAACCACATATGGATGGAGAGGCTGGCTAGAAGGGTTTGTTTACAGTCAGAATGACACTCAAAAATGTTGACAACACAGGCATAACAGAACACAGCGATATCTCGATATTCTCAAATGTCATCAATAACTAGCAGCTATTGACTGATATTAAAAGCTTTTTTATATATACATCACAAAAAAGATGCTTCTCTAACAGATTCATGCCTACCCCAGCTTTAAGTGTATGTTCTACTGAGATGTGTTCAGCACTTTTCTTTGCCATCTGAAGCTTACATGTTTTTTTCACTATTTACAGACACAAAACACAGATCAGCAAACTGATCAGCTGTTTGGTCTGCAGGCTTCAAAAAGTCAAGAATACCAGACAGAAAGAGATTGACAGAGGTGAGACTGATTATAGTTGAAGCAGCTGAAAAACAGGCAGAGCATCTGCAGCACCAATCCAGAGGAACCTGCGGCATGATGGAGCTCAGCGACTCCCAAAAAAGACAGTGTATTAATGATTCTACTGGAACATGATTTAAAGTGAATAACTCAGACAGGATGAAGAAGGAAGGAAGGGGGTGCTCAAAGTGTGAGTGTTCCCAGCAGTCTAAAGCTATAACAGCACAATTATGAGCTGTCCCAGACCTGAACCAGCATTTCCTATAACTCCTATGACTCTTAAAGGTAGAGAGGGTGTCTGCCCCTCAGACCTCAACTCATTGATGATTCTAGAGGAGAGGGGCCTTGTTACTTTCAGGTTGTCTCCTGGTTGACGTGTTACATTTCAAAATGCTACAGTCGGAAAAACAAGTTAAGTTTTTACTAAAGGAAACTTTTTTACGTCCTTTCTTAGTCTGCTGAGGTGTTGTAGGTTTTGTATCTGGGTTTCTAGCAACTTATCCAGGCTTTTCAACTTCTGGCTTGAAGTCTGGTGTGCAATCATTGAAGTATGCTGAGTACACTGAAGGCCATTTTCAGTCTGATTGAGCTGTATATAGGGAATAGAAAACCAGTCGCCAAATACATTATCCAGGTTTGTTAGCCTGGCTATGGGAGTTTTATTAGGGACCCACACAGATGAAAATCATGTTTTTCTTGTTTTTTACATGTTCATATGGCATTTTTCTGATGCTACAGGACAATATTATGAGAAAAATAAGTGCGAGATTGCATTTCTAAATATTTCTGCATTCAAATCGCTTTCTTGATTTGCCTGTCAGGTTTCCTTTTCCGCTTTTGTCAGAGCTCATCATAGACTGTATATAGAATGGACGCCGTCTGCCTCTTTGCTGGGTGAAGCCACTCCAAGAACAGCACCCTCTGGTGACGGGCTGCAGTATAGGTCATAGATCCCGCCTCTGCCAGCAAAGCTTATGGAGCTGTGGACAAACTTTAGAAATTTATTACACAGAACATAATTTTTTTTCCCCCCTGCTTGCGGAGTTGACATGTAGTTATCATATGACTGGTTTGTGCTCAAGTCCTCTTTTTTCTGTACAGCTCAGTTTTTAAAAGTTATTAGGGGGTTCATGTTTTTTATGATTGACACTTGATACAGTCTATGGGCGTACAAGGATTGCGTAGCTCACCCGGAGGATACGCTGTTTGAGCTGAGCGTCATCACAGCAACTCTCAGCAACTCTCCCACCAAATGCACACAATGCAACTGGTGGAGTGCATACAATGCTACTGCACAATGTTGGTTTCAGGAAATGAGAAAATGCGGAATTACCAAGAGCTTTTTGGCTTCAAATCTCTATACTGGCGGAAGGCGAAACCAAGATGTCCATAGTATATACAGTCTATGGAGCTCATCTACTGCAACTTGCGACAATATCAAACATGTTTGATATCGCAAACCCAAGACTAGGAAAAGACTGATATGAAATAGCGCACACTACCACCTTAAATTTAATGATTGAGATGACAAGAGCACACTGGGACTCCAGTGAAACTCCAAGATTTACTTGAGACTTTCAGTTTTTGGTCTGGGAAAGTGAAGATCATTTGATGGAAGCCCAGCATAACTCTGATCCTGATAAAATCTTTGGACAATCACACCCAGGTATTGAAATGCTGGCATTTCAGTGGCATTAAAGCTTTGATGACATATTACTTATTACGTACATCAGTGGTAAAAAAGGTCAGTCAACTCTTAGAATATAAAAAATTAGACCTGTAGGTGTTTGGAGCCGAGTTTCCTTTCTGCTGAATTTGGGAAATTCTGTGGTAAGCTCCTGTACGTCACAAAAACATTGATTTTCCATCCATACATAAGTCCATGACTGCCCATCGAATCCGCCATCCCCCATCATGTTCGTGAGTGTCGCCCACAGTCTGTCCCTTACTTTTGATCTGTGGGGGGGCCTCAGCTGGAACATAATATGCCTAACATCTATTCAACCTGGGTGTTTCCGCTGTGACATACTGACGTCCCCTCAATCACACCACACAGGTCAGCTGACTTCCTGTGTGAGTGTCAATAGAGAGCAAGTGAACTCAACATCCACTCACACTTATTTAAAGACATACCGGTTTATCTCAAAGTGAGAATGTTTAGTGTTTCTCTTGGACCTGTGACCAAAATCTTTCACAGATCCTAAAAAATCTTTGCCAGATGTTGGGATCTGACAAAGATTTTTCAGGATCTCACAAATGTTTCTCAGGATCCATCTAATGCTTCTCAGGATCAAACAAAAGTAACTTTAGACCCCCACAAATGCTGAGGATCATTTTTAGACTTCTTGCAAAAGTTTATTGAGATCTAGAGACTGTTTATTGGGACTCCCAAATGTTTCACAGGATCCTGAGTTTTTGGGAGTGCAAGACGATCTTGCAAGTTTTTCAAGCCAAGTAAAAGTTTAGTTTTTGAAAAGTTTATCAGGAATTCTTAAAATTTTCTCAGGATCTTACTGAAATTTCCTTTAACTCTAAGTTTATTTCAAGATCTTGCTGAGGTGTCTTGAGATGTCACCAGGATCTATCACTTTTTTGGGACTACTCAGAATTTCTCAGGATATTACAAAGGTTTCTTTGTCAGCAGAGCTCGGTGCTTTGTAAGCAGCGAGGTGTGAGCCCAGTGGATCAACTGTGGGCGCAACTCAACAGGGACAAACAGGCGATTATCAGGGCACCCACTAGGTGACGGGTCTCCACCATTAGCCTGCTTCACCTCCTCTTCTATCTGCCAAGTCGCCGCTCCAACCACATGGGTCAGTGGAAGGGTGGGTTCTGGTTCCTTGGCAACAGGCTTGGGGTGGAATAGTCTAGATAGGACGTCTGGTTTGACGTTCCGGGACCCCGGCCTGTAAGAGCTAGAAAAGAGAAAACGGTTAAAAAACAGCGCTCACCTGGCCTGGTGAGAGTTGAGTCTCTTGGCTTTTCTGATGTATTCTAGATTTTTGTGGTCAGTCCAGACAATGAATGGGTGGTTGGCCCCCTCTAACCAATGCCTCCACTCTTCTAAGGCGAGTTTGACTGCTAACAGTTCTTGGTTACCCACGTCGTAGTTCCGTTCCGCCTTGAACAGTCGACGTGACAGGAACGTGCAGGGGTGCATTTTACCGTTGTGCTCTGAGTGTTGAGAGAGGACGGCCCTGACCCCTTCGCTGGAGGCATCCACCTCCACCACGAACTGGCGTTGCGGATTGGGCATGTTGAGGATGGGAGCAGAGGTGGAACGTTTCTTGAGGTCCTGGAATGCCCTCTCTGCTTCTGGTGACCAGATGAACCGCACCTGTGTGGAGGGAAGAGCATGGAGAGGAGCAGCTATTGCGCTAAAGCCTCTAATAAACTGCCTGTAAAAGTTTGCAAATCCCAGGAACTGCTGAACCTTCTTGCGGCTATCAAAGAGATGGTGTCGGCATGGAACACACTTTTTTCAACCTTCACATATAAGTGGTTCTCTAATAGTCTTTTCAGAACCCTGGTCACGTGGTCTATGTGAGAGGCAATGTCGGGGGAGTAGATTAAAATGTCATCTAAGTATACATAGACAAAAACATCAAGGAAATCTCTCAACACATCGTTGACCATGGCTTGGAAGACAGCTGGGGCATTGATGAGTCCAAATGGCATGACCAAGTACTCGTAGTGACCACTAGGTGTATTGAACCCTGTCTTCCTCTGGTCCCCCTCTCTTATGCGGATCAGATGATAGGCATTTCGAAGAGCCAGTTTGGTGAACACCTTGGCCCGCTGAAGTTGATCATAGACAGAGGATAGAGTGGAAGAGGGTAACGATTGTTAACTGTGATGTCATTGAGAGGGCTATAGTCTATGCAGGGTCTAAGGGAGCTATCCCTCTTGTCGACAAAAAAACTCCCTGCGCCAGCTGGAGAAGATGAGGGGCAGATGAGACACGCTTTTAAAGATGTGGTGATATATTCCCTCATAGCTTCCTTTTCAGGACCAGAAACAGAGTACAGCCGACCTTTAGGTATGGTGGATCCTGGAATTAGGTCAATGGCACAGTCGTATCGGTGGTGTGGGGGAAGGGACATGGCTTTAGATTTGCTAAAAACCTCACGGAGATGGTGGTACCAGGGGGGCACCGAGCTCAGATCCGGGTAGTCTGCTTCCGTGGCAGGATTGACAGAGAACAGGTTAACTTCGGTAACATCAGTGTTCTGGTTAATCTTGACAAAACAGTCTTTGGTGCAGTCCTCCGCCTACTTTTGGATCTCCCCAGATCTCCAATTCACCTGAGGATTGTGGTGAAAAAGCCATGGTTGTCCCAGAATCAGAGTGTGAGTGGCCGCTTTGAATAAATAGAAGCGAATGCTCTCCTAGTGGTCCTTAATGTGCATATGGAGAGGTTCAGTGATACGCGAATTGACAAACAGTTCCTTCCCATCTAGAGCTCGGGCCCTGATGGGCTTAGTTAAGGGTTCAGATCTAATGCCCAGTTTTTCCACTAGTTCACAGTCCATTAGACTTTCGTCAGCTCCTGAATCTATGAGTTCCTCCAAATTATTGACAGTATGGTGAATTAGCTGGACCTTGGTGAGAGTTCGTGAAACGGGCTTTGAAGCTTCGAATTGACTCACCGCTGAAGCTTGTTTGGCAGGACAGGTGACGACGAGATGACCAGCCTCACTGCAGTAGAAGCATCTCCCCTCCAGTAGTCGTTTGCGCCGTTCCTCCTGTGTTAGCCGTGCTCTTCCCAGCTGCATGGGGACCCCCTCTGCCTCGGTGGGGAGATGATTAAACTGCTCCAGAGGGAAGGTGTGGGGAGCCGGCCTGCCCTGTGTCCGTGAACGAGAAACTCCTTTCCTCCCAGCACTCTTCCCTCGGTGACGTCTGAGCTGCCCAAGTCTGTTGTCCGTTCTGACGGCAAGCGCGATGAGATCATCTAAGCCTGTAGGTAAGTCGAGGGGGACAAGTAGATCTTGCATCGGCGCTGCCAGTCCCTTTAAAAACACATCGTACAGAGCCATGGAGTTCCAACCGCTCTTTGCCGCAAGGGTGCGGAAACGGATGGCGTAGTCGAATACAGAGTCTCTACCTTGTCTCAGCTCACTCAGCTCCTGCGCTTTCTCCCTATCATCCGTTACTGGGTCGAAGGTCCGTGTTAGCGCAGTCTGGAAATCTGTTAGCCTGTTGCAGATTGGCGAGCTCCTCCCCCACTCTGCCGACACCCAGGCTTCGGCTCTCCCAGTTAGGTGCGAGATCATGAAAGCAATCTTGGACCGATCAGTGGGGAAAGCATTGGGGTTTAGCTCAAAATAAATAGAGCAGTCTATGAGAAACGTCTTACTTAGTCCTGGATCACCATTATACTGTGCAGGGGGAGCTAACTTACTTCCAGCTCCGACATGGGCTGTGGGTGCAGTGGGTACAGGAGCCAGGGCGGTGGGTCGAGGGAGCTGCCATGAGTTGACTCATGATGGCCGCCATTGCCGTCTGGAACTCCTCCTGACGCAAAATGCGGGCTTCCTGAGCTTGCGGAGCCCCCGTCAGTTGCTGCGCCTCTGCTGAGTCCATACTGGCCAGAGTGTAATATCAGGCCTGGGTTTAAGGGAGGACTCAGACGCAGAGGTTACAAGATCAACAAACGCTTTATTTTGAAAAATCGTCTTCTTTACTCAGTAGATTGAGTGATAAATAAATAGGCTATGAAAACCTTCTATATCTATTCTAACGGTAAACAGACAAAACACAAAAACAAAACAAACCAAGACTGAACAAAAAATTCACTCCAAAAGGGAGGACAAATTTGTAAGCTGATCTTCTCTAATCTTTAGAGGAATAACTATAAAAATTTATGAACAAAAAACGCACCAAAAGGAGGGAAACAAAAAGAGGCTACAGACTTATCTACACTGCACTCCTAAGCTAGAAAAAAAACGTAAGAAATTAAAGTCACTCCAAAAGGGAGGAAAAAAGCAACAAGGCTATGAAACAGAAGCTAGATCTAGAAACTAAACAGGGAAAAAACTACAACAGAAAATTACTCTTCTAAAGAGGAAACAAGGATTATCAAAAATACAAATGTGGTTATCAAGCAAGGCTGTGGACATGAAGGCTGGAGGAACACGACTAAATGAGACACTTTGGGCTCTATTTTCGTGCCTCGCCGGAGACGTGCCGCAGGCGCAGCGGACCTGACTTACTCTGCGCCGACAAGGCGTTCCCAAGCACAGTTTGGTATTTTGGTGAGCGGCACAGCCCGGCGTAAGTATCCCCCCTCCCTAACTCAGCTCCTCCCAGCTGCATAAGTCGTAGCGAGGGAGGAGAGAGGGCGTGGAGTGGGTTCAAGACAGCCGAAACCTGTATTGACCAATAACATCAGCTCCTCTCCTTGCCTTTAAATCCGCCACCGGCGAGGCGTATTACTATTTTCGGGAAGTAGTCAAAGAGATCAAGAGATGTCTGAGGAAGACAGCAATGCCACACGAAGGCAGCTCCTCAACAAGTGTCGCTGTAAGCGCTGCATTGGGCGTCCTCCACACTCTCTCATATAAGCACAGATGGATTTGGTGTGTTTAATGTTGGACCCTCTGGTAAGACAAACACCCTTTTACACAAATAAAGACACTCACATAAAGTTGCATATATTCAAACCTCACGTGACAAAGGTGGGTTGAGCGCACAGATCACAACATAAACTCCAAAAATGGCATTAAAATCGGAACCATCTGTGCGTAAATGACGCATCGCGCTCCGTGGCCTGGCTCTTTCTTTCATAGATGTTGGCATAGAAAATAAATTTGGCTCACAAAACTGAATATTATAATATTCGTTTGTAGGCTTTAAGTAAATAACTCATCTGATCACTGAAACAAATCATCTGTTCAGCCGCTGCAGCTGCAGCAGGACGGAGAGAGGACATGGAGACGTGTCCAGGTCGAGCTGCGCGAAAAATAAGAGGAAGAGGAGGGAGACAACTTAAATATCTTGTTGACTTCATCATGTGTGTTTATTTACTAGATATTTAATTTAATTTAATTTAATTTAATTTCAGCTGTGTTGATTCGGTCAGGTTGAGTGTCCAAACGCGTGCCAAACGCGCTCATCAGATCAGATATAGATCAGAATATATCGATATAGATCTAAATGTATGTGCTGACTCAGATTAATAGTTATTGATGATTATTTATTGCACTGAAATGTGCCTGACACTGTGGAAACCTGCCGGTGAGGCATCAGTGACGTATGTCAATACGCCGCCTGTCTAACAAAATACCACTAGACCAGCTGCGCTCCGCCTGCGCTCAAAGCTGACCAGGTTTGAATCGGCGAGCTTTCAGCGCACTTTACACGCCACTGGCGAGCACGAAAATGTCACTGCACCCGCTGATTCTGTCGACACCTCCCCCTGCCACGCCACCTCGTCCAACTTGGCGGATCTCGGTTCGCCTCCGTGCGCGAAAATACCAAACTGGCTGTACGCCGGGCTCTGCCAGACGAAAATACAAGTACGCGGCGTCCGCCACCCTGCGTTGCCTCACCGGCGTACACGAAAATAGAGCCCTCTGGCACAGGACAAAGGGAGACGCCGACTATAAGACACATGAGGTTAATGGGGAACAGGTGGAAACAATCAAGAATCAGGGGAGACGTCAGACTGGAAACACAAGAGGAAGGGCAAGTGACCTGAAACGAGAGGGGAGTTATTTTTTCAAAATAAAACATGAAAATGACAAGACAGAAAAACCAGGACAGGACACCCGTCACCGCGTTGTGACATTCTTATGATATTGATAAAGTGTCTTAAGACCTAACCTCGACTTAACTTAAAAATTTTTCCCTCCTTGGGGTTCATCTTATCCTATCCTGTCCTATCTTATCTTATCCTGTTTCATCTTATCTAACCAAATGTTTCTTAGAAATTTCCAGCTTCTATTGATCCAGCCAAAGTTCCTTGAACTCTGCTCCTTCCCTATTTCAGGAGGTTTTTCAAAAACCTGTGAAACTTTCTAAATATTTTCTAAATAGATTTCAAAATATTTTACAATTATATTTCAGATTTCCAGGATCTTGAGCAAGCCTGGCAAGAATGTGGATCTGGCAAAAGTTGCTTAAGATCTTATAAAAGCTTTTTGAGAACCTGTAAAGATCTGTAATTCCCCAAATTATTTTGGCACTAAAAAAAGAGGTCCTGTAAATGTTTCAGAGGCCCACTTAAAAACTCAAAAAAAGTTTTGAGGTTTTAAAAAAGGTTGTTAGGATGTCTCAAACTTTTCTCTGAACCTTGCAAACGTCCATAGTTTCAAAATTTTCTTAGGATCTTACAGATGTGTTTTGTAGACATCACCACAATCTTGCAATGTCTGTGACTACAAAAAGTTTTCATAATCTTACTTTAGGATCTTTAAAAAAATACAGCAAGATCTTGATATAGGTTTTTGATACTGCCAAGGATTCTGAAGATCTTGCAAATGTTTAATATTATCCTTCATATATTTCAGGCCCGACCAAAAGTTTCTGGTTATTGCTGAGGTATACCAAAATCTTGCAAAACGATTTGTAAAAACTTACAGGAGTTTCTTGCCCCCCCTTTGGATGGATAAAAATCATTGGGATCTTGCATATATGTCTTTATTTCATTGTAACATTTATGGTTTTGCTTATGTTTATGGCTACTTCACAAGATTCTCATTATCTTAAAAAAGCTTTATTTTTTAATAATCCATTTTATTTAGTTCAGCTCAGTTTCATTAATAAAGAAAAGATTCAACAAATAACAGATCGTAAAGACACATCAAACAAGTTTCCCAGTTTACCTTGTTTTTAAACACACCATTTTAGAGGAGCAGGACATTTTTCAGAGCACACTGTATACTTTTTAAAAATCAGTATCTAGTATGTTTGCCATATACTGCTTTGTATAGAGCATTAAAAAGACTGCATAAATGACGAGTGGATGATGCAGCGTCCATGATTTCCAAAAAGAAAGTCAGATTTTGATTCATCAGTTCACCTTTTTCCCTTTCTCCCAAGTCCATCTTAAATGGGCTCTGTTCCAGAGAAGTCTCTGGTGTTTTTGGATCATGTTTATGTTTGCTTTACTCCTTGCATAGTTCAGTTTTAACCTAATTTGTGGATGAGGTGATGAGTTGGGTTCACAGACTAAAGTTTTTCTGCAAAGAGTCTATGCGGTGAATCTACAATTCAGAGTCCTGTCTGTTTTTATTGCAGTGCTGCCTGAGGGCCTGAGGATCAGGACCATCCAGTGTTGGTTTTGGCCACTGTCTCAAGAGATTTCTCCAGAGTCTCTTAATTTTTAATGATATTATGTTCTGTTCCTTCACATTTGACACTCAGGAACATTATTCTTTAAGTGTTGAACTATTAGCTCACACCGTCTCATACAGGGTGGTGAAACTCTTCCCATCTGTCCATCTGAGAGTCTCAGCCTCTCTGAATGTCCTTTTTATACCCAGCCATGTACTAACCTGTTGGAAATTAATCTTATTAGTTGGCGATGTTCCTCCAGCTGTTTTTTTTTTTTTGACATTACACAACTTTTGTACCTGTTTGGTTGTTCCTCTAAGAACTGTTTCATAACCTGTTGCTGACATCAAATTAAAGATGCCAACTTGTTACAATTCGTGATTTGTTCTCTTCACCCATTCACGGTCAGATCTGGTTGTAAATGGAGACTGCATGAAAAAGCTTTGAATGTTGAAACATCTCGGTGTCTTTAACATCTGGTTCTGCTGAGTTATCT